CCAGTTATTCTGAAGATATTTACTAGGGGGGACATGATCACAACGGCCATGTACTCTGCAAGGCTGACACTCCAATATCTGTGCAGCATCTATACAGCTATATGAGATACAACAGTGAGTTAAAACTCACTGGACACTGATGCATCATACTACAACTTTATCTAAAGCCTCTGTAATGAAAGCTGAGATTGCTGCTCTCTATGTACATGTTTTTATTTTTGGCAGCATAGTTTCACGCTATCTATAACTTAAAGCAAACTCTGGTTCTATTCAAAACTTCACATGCTGAGCAGAGATTAAGCAAAATTTGTTGCTATTTGTTGCACAGGTTGATTATTTCAGTCCTTCCACCAATTCTAGGTCAATTCATGGATGTATCAGGAGATGGAACCGATCTTGGAAGTTAGGTCCTTTGCCATCCTAATGGCAAGTAATGAGACTAAGGTAAATATACAGAAAAAAAAGCTAAATTCTGTATCCATTACAATGTATATAATATAATAATTATATAATAATTATTATAATAATTATATAATTATAATTATAATAATGTAATGCTTATTCAGGCAAAATGTCATAGAAGATGTGACAATTATAGAGTAAAACATAATAATAACACATGCTTTCACTATAATTCAAACAGCATTTTTTATTGTCTTTATCTGAAAATTTTAATTTGTATGAACAAGTGATATTTTCATGTAGTTTAATCTCAGTCTCCTCTCACATAGCAATAGATATTAGATATATATTAAAGTTAAATAATGGAAAATGTGCCTTGCTATTTAGATTTAGTCTGCACTCCCTTCACTTACTCCTAAGACTGCACAGATCACCTATAGTGCTGAAAAAAAATATCCAAAGGGTGCATTTAAATAAAGATCAGTCTTCAAATTGTACCAATGGCTTATACACACACATACATGAAGAGACACAAATGAGTAGCTAAAAATAGAATGCATAAAGGAAAAATTTCAATATGCTACATTTGAAATAAGATTTGAACAACATTAAGACATCCAGGTGTACAACACATGTAAACCATCTTTGTGATGAAACTGGAAATGATAAATTGCACATTTGCCAATATCAGCTAGAATATAACAAAATCAGCTCCTTCCTCTTCATTATTACAGCTGCTTCATACATATGCTTTAGCAACAGTCTTTGGTTAAAAAATCAGAAAAACTCAATTCACATCTTAAAGACATTTGTGTACAGAAAATAACAGCAACAGCATATGGATTTAAAAGAATTTAAAAAGTTTAACAAAGCCAGAGTTGTAATATACTATCTTTGACCATCTTAATAACAAAGACATTTGGCTGGAATTTGCATGCACTGATAGCAATGGCAAGATATTAAGTCCTTCAATACTAAGATTATACTAGAGTCCCAGACCCCAAGATAATACATTATTGCACAGATCATCATACTTCTCATAATCAAATACTGACATTCTTAATATTTAGGTTCAGTTCTTTATTACTCTTTCATGTAAAACTCTGTGTTAGGGAAAACTGTATACAGAAGTTTAAGGACATTCACTGTCGGCACAACAACAGCTTACAGAGAACACTTACAGAGAAAAGGAGATATCCACACTGTCTTACTGAACGCTATGATAACATAGTGATAACATATGTCTACATTAGAAACTTTGTCAGTATAGAGGGAGGTCTCCTAATTTAGCTACGTCCGATCCTCTTTTTGAGGATCCTCTGACCATCTAGCGAAGCCAGACTCCTAATTTAGCTATCTAAATCAAACTGCACAGCTATTTCCCGTCATGTCTCCATATATCTTATCGGAAGGAGCAAGAATTCACCAATACTTGCTCAGTCAGGTAGTCAGCTGGCTGCAGTCACAGTACTGATGGGGATTGTACAACCTTCCTCTGTCATGAAACGACCTGCACACTGCAATGGGAAACGCCGGAGGGGCTGGGAGACCAAACACAGAAATAATTGGTGGGATGAACACGCTCAAGCAGGCATTCTGCCCCTGTCCAGCATGAGATTCAGAGCTTCCACCACACCATGCAGGCCTTCTTATGCTAAATTAGAAAAGAATTTATGAAGTTCTTATGTGTGCTTGCAAAGGGATTTTTTTCTTTTGTTTATGGTACTAGCTTTACACATTGACAATTACTTTATAAAGAAATCATTAAAAAAGCACCTTCATGTTTGGCTTACACTTAAGAACATGTTAAACAGTCTTCCTGAACATGGTTACTCTCCTAAACTGAGACCATAAATAAGATCATATTAAGGCATTCACTATATTTGCATATGACATTGTGAAAGTTATAATCAGTCTCAAGTCTAAGTAAGTAACCTATTTCTACATCAGAACATGCAAAAAATAATGTAGATATTTCTTCTGGGGCATGGTTTCACTAAAAACGCTAGAGTTCAAAAGTTGGTGTCCTCAGCAAAATGATTACAGACCTTTTAAAACTGTGTGAACCAAGTGTCAAAATAGAAAAGACCGATATTGAAAGGAAACACATCCACATAAAACAAAACACTTTAAAATGGAATGTAAGCAGTTTCTAAATAGACTAAAATATTACAGTGACTTTATAAATAGAAAACTAGATACTAATGAAGAAATAAAGCAGTCCTTTCCAAATACTTCAAGTGCATGTATTTCTCTCTTTACTATCATTAATACAAAATTGCTTTAGCTACAGCTGTTCTAGCATTGGCAACAGTTCAAGTAACTTCCCTTCTTTTCCACTTCTTCATCCTCCATTTCCAAACCACAGATTTGCCAGGACACATCTTGATTTCATAAAATTTTGGGAAAAATGTCCCATGTCTTCAACTCTGTAGGTATGTGAGCCTCAATTCAAGGAAACGTGTCATAAATTCAACATAGTCCTTGGATTGTCACACAGGTAGTGGCCTGTCTCTTGTTCCAGAGCTTCATCCAAGAGAGCTTATTTGCTGACAAGCTCCCTTTTCCTTGCACAGAGCCTGCTGAGAAGGATTTCAGAATAAACTTGATTTATTGGACCTCGGACATGATATGGGGACTGAGAATTTGTTGCATAGTCCTGCAGGTGTGATGACTTGCTTTGAGCACTGATAAATTTCCCCAGTGTATAGTGCCTTGATAATGTCATTGTTATGTGAGGACTTTCTTCAGAGGGATTGGATTTCACCACCTGCAAAAAAACATGACATATGTAAATGTTTTCTACATGCACCTAGAAGGATACACAGCTGTGTGCACACAACTGTTGAGACAGTTCTCCACAAGGCAAGTGCTGGTATTACCTTGAGCAGCAAGTTACTTACAAACATTATTATGGCGAGTCAACTTGTGTTACATGTTAATTAAAGTGCCAGATCCTATTCATTCAAGCATTGAAATCCAAAAGTTTAGCCACATTGTAATCATTTGGTTGATTCTGTAATGTCTTCAGTGCATTACACTCTATCTTATCTTCATTAAAGACAATTTCATCTACACTACAAAATGCATGCTTCATGGCTTGCTATCAGAAAAAAAAAAGAGTCAAGGCAGTCCTGACTTGTGGAAAGGTATAAATCTGCACAACACTCTGCGGTTCACAGCTCCGGTACAGATCTGATCCCAGGCATTTGAGAAACCTATGCTGTGTCTCAACTATGAGTTTTGCTAGAATTTCCTAGATCTCAGGTTTGATGCAAATTGTATGGATGAGAAGATGTTTCCTCAAGAAAGGACTTACGGTTCTTTTTTTTTTTTTAACAGATATCTCCAAACTTGGATGTTTGAGGTATCATACTGATATAACCACAATGTGGTTCAGGGACAGTGCAGAAGAACTTTTCTTCTTGACTCCCAGATTTGTGTAAATCCCTGGGGTTACCACATTTAATCGATGTCAAATAATCCAATATCCATCGGACGCGTATTGAAAGGTAGACTCCTCGGGACCCTGATAACTGGGGTCTACTATGAGACGTTCAAGGCCTGACCTCAATGCTTACACAAACACTGATGTAGAATGAAGCAACTTGAAGAGAGTCTCAATCTCTGAACCTTGTACAGATGCAGAACAGAGGATCTCTACCCAGGCAGTGGAACAGTTAGAGACAACAAAAGACCTGCCAGGTGGCTAACTTATATTCAAAAGAGAAGAAATATGCTGATGTGACAGAGTTGTAATGTTCCTCAATTTTGCTGCCATAACAATCAAGTACACACTTGAAGGAATTGACTATATTTCTAAATATAATTATGGAAAGGCATAATAGCTTTTTATATATATGAGATATATTTAGGGTCACTTAACAATCACTCAGAAACAATGTTCATCCGCAATGAAGTTCAAAATAAATGGACAGAAGCAACTCAGAATTAACTATGAGTAAAGAAATAACACATGCAAAGGCTTGAAAGACTGAGCAGAGAGGCTGTGAGGGAGCTGGCTGAATTTAAAAAAGAACAAGACTTATCCATGTAGAAAATTAATATATCCTATGATCAATTTGATACAGCTAAGCCAAGAACAATTATTTGTTTTCATTTAATTACTGCAGATTCATTTTTCTAAATTAGTGCTTTAGATCATATGAGTGCTCCAAAATGATGCCACCTTGAACCAATCACCCAAAGCACATTCCTGTTAGGCATAATCTCCAAAGAATGCAATCTAATGTTCATCCTGCAGCCAAGCTCTGATTAAGCTAGAATAATTCCAAGGTTACTAGTTTCTATATTGTGTTCATTAGTTCATTGTCATTAAATTAGGGAATAAATCTGAACAAAAAATATCTTCCATAAGACCTTTTACAAACACCAGCCAATCTAATTTATCTATAAGCATTTGAGCAGAATGAGCTAATTAAAAAAATCCTATTTGTGTGCATGAACTAGATGAGTATTTGGGCAATAAGTGTCAAAGTTACTCACTACGTTTTTGCCCTGGTTCAATCTAAAAATCCAGAGAGTCCAAATTCCTGGCAATCTAAGCAAAGACTGTAGGTCTGTAGGTCAAAGACTGTAGATCTGTAGTCATTCAGGGTAATCTGAGGCCCTTTGAAGTGTATTAGTCAGAACCCAAAGAATTTTATCAGGACAAATAGGTGCAATAGCTTTCTACTTGATCAGCTAGCAAGAATTAAATGAGAACTACTGAATGCATTTCCATTCCTATTTTCTGACTGTACAGAATGACAAGTCCCCATTCCCACTCAGCTGCGCTCTAGTTGAGTTGTGGCTTACAGAGGGGTGCTATCTTCTGGGAAACTAAGAGGTCATTTTTGAGAGAAAGAAAGTGAAAGTACAAAGCAATGGACTTAATCCTTCTCATCTGGCTTCATAAAACATGGAAAGTTCTGGGATTTTACATAGTGTTCTTGGCTCAGAAAGGCTCAGAGGCAGAATGCCATTTTCCTGGTGCAAACTGCTTCAGCACCTGATGAAACTCTATTTGGCAGGATGCAGAAATAAACTGATGACAAAACTGTTAAAATTAATGAGATATCAAAAGCATTCAAGGACTTTCTGTTTTTACTTTCTTCAAGGACCAAGGCTGCTTTTTGGTGGCTGATGGGTTCTCCTGGGCTCATGTATGCCTCTTTCAGACACTGTGACCTCTGAAGCCTCATTAACAACATTTCTTCAAGCCAAATTCTTCCCTGATCCTCCCCAGAAGGATATATTCTCTGTTAAGATCCCTCAGATTCAAAAGCAAAGCCAAATCTGCACATGAGCTCATACAAAATGATGGAGGAGTGTGTGAAAAATGATGACTGATCACACCCTTCTGTTTTCCACCCAGTTCTATACAAAGCATTTGAAATATTTTGCTTTGAAGTTCTCCATTTTGCTCAGAAGGTCTCTGGAAATGGTGATCATTGCAATGACCCATGAAGACAATAACATCTGGGTTCTAGAAAAAAAGAGGGTCAGTATATGCCTGGGTGGAACTGAGGAGGCATTTACTTCCCAGGACTGATTATTCATTGCATAAATACCTGGTCCATGATTTACTTCCCCTTTCCCAGCTTCATTTAGACTGAGCTGTGTTCATCTCTCTGTAATGCATTGCACAGAGTAGATTAAAGGATCAGTTAGCTAACCATGTGTGCTGTGCGTGGTCCCACAGGAGATTAGAAACCCCACAGAGGAGTGCAAACATATGAGCTGTTGAGGAGCTGGAAATCAACGGTGACTTTCACACTCAGTACATGAGATCAGACAGGTCAGATAAAGCTCCCATTCCTATGTTCTGTTTCAGTGACCCCAGTGCTAGAAGAGAGTCCCAGCTCATTGCAGCTGGTTGCTATCCTCTCTCCACCTTGAAGACACATTTATCATCTGAAAAGACACTTATGCCTCTGAGACTGGACCTTTTTCATTTTTCTTTTTTTTTTTCCTTTTTTTTTTTTCTTTTCGATATTTAAGGAGAATATTCAAAGCCTTATTGTTATTAATCTTCTCTTTTTTTTCTTTCTTTTTCTTTTTATTCTGCTCTAGTGACTGCTATGTCTGAGAGAATTAAATAGAATCCAGCAGCTACAAGCAAATGCCCATGCTCACTAGATTAGATCATGACCAGAAAGCAAGATTCCACTCTGAAATCTGTGTTTGAACTTTACTATGGTCACCCTGGATTTCAGGGTTTTTTCAGTCTTCCTTCATAACATTTCCTTCACCCGACACATAAAATCTGCTGTGGCTAATTGAACCTAGGAAGATACAAGAAATGCAAAGCCAAAAACTTTCCTTTGCTGATGAGGAAGAGCATTCATAAGAAAAGACACAAAACTTACCCAACATACATCCTAAGGAAAATAAAACTTTGCATGTCTTGTTTTTGCAAACTCTTTACTTTCTCTGGTCTGGCAACATCCAGGTTGTTTTTGTACCTAGCCACGATAATGCATTTGTTTATTTGTTTTTCATTTAATCCACAGACTCTCTTGTCATTATCTTGTCATAGTATCGTGTGAAGATTCCTAGCCAGAACTTTGAAGCATCAGAAGAATATGTCACATTTTCAAATGACTATTTTACTATGCCTGTTTCATTCATTGCAATGATTGCAAGATGGAGCACAGAATCTCTACAGATATTCAAAGAAAATGAAAAGAGGACTATTCACAGCAATGAGAATGAATGACCTACTATTTTCTATTGGTATAGTCAATTATTCTAACTATTCTAGAAAGCTCTTTCTCAGGCACATGAAAGTAAACATACAGCAGGAAGAGAAGTCTTTATTTTAAGCTCCATTTTCAATGTATCAGTGGTTTGATGGGAGTCTGCTGACCAGCTTGAAAAGAGGACTATTCACAGCAGTGAGAATGAATGACCTACTATTTTCTATTGGTATAGTCAATTATTCTAACTATTCTAGAAAGCTCGTTCTCAGGCACATGAAAGTGGAAGCAGGAAGAGACAGATACAGCAGGAAGAGAAGTCTTTATTTTAAGCATTTCAATGTATTGGTTTGATGGGAGTCTGCTGACCAGCTCTGGTCTGTCATAAGGCAAGAACATAGACATAAGGCAGAAAAACACCTGTGTGGCTGAGGTGTGATAAACAGATAAACTGAATAGGTCCAAAAGCAGTAGGAATATATATTGCACTGGAAATAATATGAGAGCTTGGAAAACGTGCAAAAAATGTACAATATCCTTTTATACAAATTATCTTTTAACAGAGCATGCCTGTTTTTATTGTGAGGTATTAAATCACATTTAGCCGGTCCTCAAGTCATGTTCCAGTCTGAAGAGCAAGTGAAAGGTACTTTCATACCTACTGCGATCTTTGTGATTTTTCTTATGGCCTATACTTGAATCATGACTGTGATACTTGTGGGATACTTTTCTTCTTTTCGGGAACTAGGCAGTTAAAATCTCTTTAAAATAACTGAGAATGAAAAAACAAAACAAAACAAAACAAAACAAAACATGAACTATTACCTCATGGAAATGACAGCCACACTTCCCTTGCAGGAATTCTTTGTAGCGTCCCATTGTGATGACAAAGGTGTCAACAACTTCATAACCATATTTTTTTGCTGTATCCAGAATCACCAAATTTTCATTCCATAAGTTTTGTACTTCTTTCTGCATTCCAGATAAAATAGTCAAATATTAAAGCAGTATCAAAAGGACTGCTTAAATGTTTGATTCCAACAATTGCTACATGCCAGATATCAATTACTCTGAGTCAACTCATGCAAATAGGTAATATGAAACACAATTCAGGAAAAAATGTCTATTACATTTTGTTTGTTTAAGAAATCATGAAAATCTCCCTGTACAAGATGTGTTCAGCTTCAAATCAAAGTCACTGTGACTGTTGCTTAAAAGGGAGTGCAGTGCCATGGGAATCTTTGAAATGGTTATATTGAAGAACAGATTATTCATTATTTCTCAAGATACTGCAGGAAGGACAGGAATAGAACAAAAGTTAGCTATAAATTTGCTAAGTTGGTGTTTTTGATGCTCTAGAAAGGCTTTCAGAGTAGCTGGAGTTATCCACAAGTCCAGAGCACCCAAACCACATGGCATATGATTCAGATACTGAAAAGAAAAATAATGTTGGGTACATACTGTAGCTGCTTTCTTGAGTTCTGTGAATTAACTGGGCAGGAAAATGAAGAAGGCAGTTCTGGGAAGCCTTTAATGCTTTTTCTATTCTTGCCTCATCTACGTTAGATCAAAATTCTATTTTTTCCATCTAGAACTTAACAGTGCTGAAATCTATGACAGAAGCGAGAATAACTCTTCTAATTGATTCCAACCACTTCCCTAATTTATCCTAATTGGGCATCTACATAAGTCAGGGAAATGGGTGAAATCAATAGGAAGAAATTCAATGAAGCCAAGGCAGATACTACTAACTTGGAAAGAAAGAATAGGCAAAATCTAGCAAGGCACTCTCAGTAGCTAAAAGAATGATGAGAGAAACAGTAAATCACATACTGAATAAAGCAGTATGTTATGATTGCCAAAACAGGTGAATACCAGTCTCCAATGTGACCATATTGTATGTGAACTATGACAGCTAATTATGTTTTCAACACTTGTGAATAGCTGGAATGTTACATGAACCGTGATAGCCAACATTTACTCTGTTCTGTCCTCCAGCACTTCCCAGCTTTCTCATCCACATATTTTATATGTATTCTTTATTATATTTTATAAACAGAGAATTTCTCTAAACTAAAAATATTGAATGAGCTATACAATATATTAAAAACCCCATCTGTTACTCCAAGAGTGTTGGACATGATTGGAACTGACCGTAACACCCTATTAACATAAATAACAGGCTAGACTCACGGGTACTTTCCAGCTGCTTTGCAATGTTTTGCCTTAATAGGTTGTTTAGGATAGATTTATAGAGAGCTGAAGCCTGAGGAGGGTCTGTACTCTCTGCAGTACAAAGAACAACCTGCTTACCTCCAACTCAATTTCTCAACTTTTACACTAGGCTTCATATTGAAGGTTTTTCTAGTTCTTGGAACAGCTGACTTAGCCTAACCTCTCTAATGGCTCTCCATGTATGGTGGAACACATGAATTAGCTGTAATTGGCTTGAATCTGCATCAGCAAGCCATATTAGCAAATGCAAATATTATTCTTTCTTTGATCTACTTAAAGCTTGCTCAGTAGAGGTGCTAACGTATTTCAGCCAGACAGCAAAATTATTGCTGAAATGACAAGTCTTCCATGAAAACGCACTCCAAATACATTTTCAGCTTACCTGTGATAAAGAATGTATTCCATCCACAGGTAGGTGGAAGCCCATCCCTATAGATTTGATAATCACCAGAATATTTGATAGATTTTCCCTGTTTGGCAAATAAAAAGAAGTACGTGCATTTTACTCACAGGCACATTAAAAGACACTGCTTTTTTTTTTTTTTCTTTCAAAGTCAGTTAAGTGTACCCTCATGAGAAAACACATGAAATGTTTGTATTTAAATTTTTTGCTGAGGTTGATTCTCTTTTATCATATGGAGGTGTGACTAGGAATAACATTAAGTGCATAACATTACCTGTTCAACACCTTTTGAATAATTTGCAGGTGATTGGAATTAAGCCACTGAACACCACCTACAATTAATACGGTCTGGTCTGTGTTCTCAAGGGGACGTGATCTGAAACCCAGAAAGGAAAAACAACACATGTTGCCCTAAAACAGATGGCAAACACTTTAACTGCATTGCATTACATTTCAGTGAACTGTATCTGGCATCCTGATCAGAGGCCTGATGTCATTTTCTGCTATTTTTCAACCACACAATATGGTCTGCACACATTATACTTAGTTGTTTACTGACTTTAATTGTAAAGTCTGTTAAACACATTTGTGAAGAGAATGAAGACACAAGCAAGCCAGCGATAGCTTTTATACTGTACCTCTGCAGCAGTTGTTTTAGTGCCTTCTCGAATGTTGGTCTCTCATTTGCATTCATCCAAAACTTAGGATAGTAGGAGTAACTGATAAATGTTTTTCCCTCATTGATATTGTGATAGCATTTAACATCATGGGTCTTTTGCCATTCCTGCAGAGTCTCATTTACTCTTTCTATTAGATAGTACATCATTCCTCTGTTAGTTGAGTCACCTATGAAGAGAATCTTTGGATGGGAAGAAAGGATATGATTTACTTTTGGTAGTTACACACTGTAAAAGCATAATCCCTATGAGAGAATATTGCTAGGCTGGAGGTTTACAAAGCCTACTCAGGGCTGTTCAAAAATTCTTTCTATGAGCTGTCAGTTCTCTAGTCCTGTCATCTCGATGCTACTATTTTCTTTTAGCAAAATATATTTGATGTCATGAACAAAAACTCATGTCATGTTCAAAGACAAAAAGTAAAGGTTACAGATGATTATAGCTGCACAGTTATAATTCTGTATTTTTTATCGTTCCTGCTCATTCCTTTTTTATTTAGATTTATATTTACTTCCAACTGCTAGTACAGAGCCTCTCTTGATTACTTGCAGCTTCCTGCTGTAGTTTCTCCAGTTCCTCATGCGGTTTGTTGCGATACAGTGTGTCTCACTTGGTATCTGCTTTACATAAATGTGAATCATTTGAATTTAAACCTAAATAACACACATACTAATGAATGCAGTAGCTACCCTACCTGCAAAGAAAATATATTTTTGCTATTTCAGGGGATAAAAGAGGATTATTTTGGTAAGGGGATTATTTTGGTGGCAAAGACTCTGAAGTGAGTCCTGGTGTATGTTTGATGAGATGATAGCAAGAGAGAGCTGCCTGAAGACATGTTGAAACTCCATCAGTCTGACAAAAGTCGCTTCAAGCTTTACTGGGCTACTCTGAACTTGTGAGAGAATAAAGAAGCTTAATCTGGTTTAACCCTACTCATCTTAAAAAATCAAGCATTTTTGTATGTGGAAACCAAAGAGAGAATTTTCACATGATTTTTTTAATGCACTTGCCCTATTTTTAGTTGATAGGACTAACATTTCCTTATGCTGAAGAGAACATGCAAGCAGTGACCAAAAGCAAAGAGAACCCAGACTCGCTGTGGTTTGCCAATGAAACCGTGTGTGGCATGTTACCACCACAGTCCCTTCAGACAGAAACACACATATAGGAACATACATGTAAAACTGGGAATCAAAAAACCCACAGAGCCATAACACAATAACAGCCCTTTTTGTCTTCACTGCAATATGTTCCTTTTCCTATCTCCTTTGGTGCTATCCTGGGATCTTTTTCTATTCAGGGTAGTTGGCGCCCTGTAACTTCGGGTTTTGTTGTTTATTTGGTTTGTTTTTGATGCCTTACCACTTCCGCCTTGAATATTTGGGTATGCAAAGAAAAATTAAACTGTACAGAATGACTCAGGTTTAAGAACAAGCTTGCAAAGCTTCTCTCAGGGTTCTTATGTGGTGAAGATATTTTGGATTCCTGTCCCTTAGTGCATCACTCTTTAACCTGCCCCTCCAGAATCACCACAGTTTGGGGAACTGATTCCATTTCCAACCATGAGCCTATTGTGAGTAAAAATGATCCATAAGAGTGCACCAAAGGCAGTCTCCTTAGTACTAGAACAGTTTAAGACAAACATATCATGATCTGGTGGTAGGGCCAAGAAAGAGCATGACAGTGACCTGAGCCATAGTCTGCAGAGAAGCCCTTGACAGATTATGTATGGGAGCAAGTAATTTAAAATATTCATTGTGCATATAGAGATTATTTTATCGCCTATCCTGGATCTCTCAAAGTTGCTTTATAGAATAAATTCTCAAATAGCTACTGATTACACATTTTTTTCCCCAATATTCTTCATGATACATTGCAAGAAACCTCTTTAAACCAACATGACTCACGGTAGGTAATGGTCCTTGGTAACAAAAGGACTGGCTGGATACTCACTTTATCCTTCTCTCTCACACAGAAAGATGCACAGAGCTATTTACAATAAGACAGCCTGCACTTACAATATGACTGAATTTTAAAGTCGACTGAGATTTTACATGACAGTTCTTCTGATTTTTAAATCACACCACCTTGTCTATATCTATGTCTCTTAAATTAATCTGTTTCATATATCCATCACTGTAGTATCTAGATGTACATCTAATTTAAATGCAGTTCTTGCATACTAACAAGTAAGGGCATTAAACAGTAATGGGAGTGAGGATATTCTTAAGCTGCAAAGTGAGTGAAAGCATATCTTCAAATCATGGAACTTCATTAGTGCAATGACAAATATGTTCTGCTAGGTTATGCACCAGTTGGTGGAACATAGATAGTTTCTCCTTTATATCTAATACCATACAACACCATTTTTATCACTCACTGCAGTAATTTCTAATTTCAGAGGAACATATGTGGCACTACACTGTGTGAATTTGGCAGAAATGGCATTTTTATTCACTCTTCATTCTAATATGACTACAATTCTGTCTAATCTCTTCTTCTGATGAATTGAAATAATAGAACAAATTATTTAATGGTAAAAAAGAGAGAAGAACTCTAAACAAGGTGAAGAGACGTGATAAAAAGATGTGCTGTTTTGTTGAGAATGTGTATTGAATAGTAGTCCAGCTCTGGAGTTTCATTTTAAAGATTTTTAAAGTCAAACACTGCACAGTGTGAAAAACTGAAATTTAGATCATCAGCTTCTTTCCCATTTTTTTCATTATATCAAAAAAAAGCAAAATAACTCCCCCCATACACACACAGAGTCTGTTCACTCTATTAAATATTTTAGCATTATAGAGCTTTAAAATTTCTACACATCCACATCTATATACATGTAAGCAGTAGATCCATGTGTGAATTTTCAAGCCTGCATGTGGTAGTCAGCTGGAAAGGTGTAAAGGTGAAAACTATCAATGGGAGGACAATGTGCACACTCATTTAGAAAATCTGTACCAGGAGAAACAAGCTATTTAAGATTATTTTTTACAGTGACAGTTCTAGCCCTTAAATGCCATGGTTCTTGGCACTACAAGTAATACAAGCTGGGATTTACAACAGTGCTTTTGTTGTTTCCCTGGTGTTCTGAAAACATGTAGGGGATGATAGCAGTCAGAACAGAGGATTTTTAGACCTCTCAATATAGCTGGAAGAAATAGATAATCTGATGGGTTTCACATTTCTTCAAATAATATCACAAGACTGAAGAATGTCCACAGCGCATCCCTGATGGAGTAAGGTTCTTAAGGTTAACTTTACTACACTCAGTATACTGTGAATGCTGTAACTGTAACATGGATATGCTCCCAAAAGACCAACAGGGATCTCAGAAAGAAAGAACGAAGGAAACCCCAGAATAAAAACTCACATTCTTCAGTTAACCAAGAGATTCAACAAATCAGAATACAATCACTCAATGTAATTGAGTGTGTGATTCACGTTCACATTTATATCATAGCAACATTTATATCATAGAGCTGCACCTACTTACTGTGGTTGTGTATGTGTCACCTAGTATTTAATAGCTAATTAAGCCAACGGTCTGTTGATAATTTTGAATTTAGCTCTACAACACTCATGAGTAAAATGATGGTTCAGGTGTTTAGAATATGCCATATTTCATTTTCTTTACAGTTAGTAAAGTTTAGTCATGGGCTGTTCGGGTCAATGGGGGATTTGTCTAAGGGATGACTAAAGGATCAGGTATACATAAGGCTATAATTTTATTAGACACAGAACAACATTTTCATGCAGACAGATGTTTTCAGTGTCCTTTGTTGCCAAACATTTGTGTGAAAAAAATCCATTATAACTTTCAGACTTCAATAGATTGTGTAAGCGTAGTGGAATTCACTTCTTAACTAGACCTATCATTATAAATTAACCACACTTAAGAAATTTAAACACCTGTAAGTCCAAAATACTACTTAACCATAAATGTTATTAAAAACTTGTATGCTAAAATTCCTGTTTTAACAGCTGAATTTTAAGTACTTCAGCAAATATTGCCTTTTCATATTTCCTGTTCTTAATTACATATGACTCAATGGTACTTTATTACAAGACTAAACACTTAAAAGACTAAATAATTTTTGAACGATAAACAAAATATACACACCCCTTCTATTGCGGCCAGCTTTCTATATACTACTAATTGGACAACTAACTGCCTGATATAACTCCTTTCTTTTCACCTACTTTAAGAACAAAAATCACAGCATTATGTCTTAATAGAACTGTATAAATCTCACAGCAAAAGCTTATTAACCACAATTACAGGGATTTGTTGAGCCACTATAATACTAATGCCATCGTTTTAATTCAGACTTCCTATTTCTTCGATACAATTAGGGCATATATATGTAGTTCCTCAAGTACTAGTATTTACCGAACAATATAGCCTGCATCTTATCGCCCAGAAAAGGTCTGCAGATATTAAAGTGAACATCCCCTCAGAGAGATATCACCTTAGACTAAATGCTTTAGAAGTTTCCTGTTTATCATGTCTGAAATACAAACATATGATTGATTAGTCTTGCTAACACATCATAAAGTCAAATAAGGTCTCTTCTAAAATTTTCTTCACTGAAAGTATATCATTTTTCAGGTCTCCACCAGTTTGAACGTTATTGTTTCACTATGGGTGGTCTTTATGTTTTTATGAAACCGAAACAACTCAAGCTCTAACACAGTTTCATAAGCATACAGATTAAAATAGTAGTTAATGAAGGTGTGAAAGCAATTTGAAGCCATATTCAAGGTAAATTAATTTCCGCTATGGAAAAGGAGAATATAATTTTAAAAATAAGCTCTGAACAAACAAACTTTAATACAAGCCGTAAAAGCAGCCTGAAGCTAGAGAACAAAATTTAAGAAACATTCTTTTGTAGGAAAGAAATGCTCTGTTTGAACCATGATAATTATATTTCAGAAACATAAATGCATACAGAAAAGAAATTAATGAGCAACAGACATATCTGAAAACTGCATTTTCTATTGTTCATGGGAAAACTAGAGTAACTGCACTAGAATAACTACACTTCAACATGCAGTTGATCTTGTGTCCTGCATTTCATATTCACTTTTCATCCTACTCATCAGTTGTTGAAATTCATCCAAATCAAGGATACAGCACCGAAGTAGTTAACATATTGTATGCTTACTTTCATATTCATTAGGGTTAGAAGGACAAACTTTTTTTTTCTTTTTTGCATATAAAACTAAAAGAGGAGTATAGCAACATAATCTGTGGTTATCATAGCTAGAAATTTGCACAGAGATTAGCACTTCCTTTTGAAAAAAAAAAAGAAAAAAAGGACATAACCAGACACTTATTGCATTTACAAAGTTGTCTTATGACACTTTAGCATAAGAAATGAAGCCCAGCAGATAATCATGCTGGAACCAAACCATATTTTGATTAAGTAAAAAAATTAAAGAAGATAGAAGTGATTTATATATAAGACTTCTTGCTTTACCTTTGATTCAACTTTATATGAGTCTGAAAAAATTTTGTGACCGATATTCAAAAGAATAATTCAGTCATAGGGGCTATTATTATTTTATTGAAAGACAAGACTTCATTTGACCCAACCAAGCTATGAACACACATATCTCTGCTATTCAGAGGGAGGATTTGTAATTATGAGACATGCATGGAGTTCTTATTGACTTGGTTCAGGATGAACTTTGAACAGGAATTCAAACTTTCTGTGTAGAACTCAGTGACTGTAATGCTTAAAGCCAAGGTATGTAATGACTTGAAACTCATATTACAAATGCAAAAATATGTATAAAATGGTTACCAAGATCTATTGTATGATATTTTAATCAAAAGAATTATACCTCACCATCTGGTCACTAACTACCTTATTTAGTGTACTTAAAAGACTTAGTTAACATACAGCTTAACCAACAGGAAAAAATCTTTTTTTTTATAGTGAGCACTTGAAAAAAAAAAGAAAAACAACTTTTTTACTTTGCTCAGAGTGTCTAAAGTAACCCTAAAATTTGCCTTAATAGCAGATAAAAATGGGACCTTGTTGTCAAAGCATGAGGACATTTATTAATCATCTGATTTATATATGAAGAAAGTCTGACTTCTTAAATTCTACTGATATGAGGGATGTGATCCAAGAATTCTGATTTTGGTGAAAAAAAGCATAGGTGCTCTGCTGAAATGATTGATCAAGTTACCACTGCAGTCTAACAACAGAAATAATATCAGGGAAATAAAATACAGAGATAAAAGAAATTTACCAAAAAGGAAACATGCATTTGAAAATGACTTTTAAGGAATAAATGAGTTAAATGGACATCTGAGCTAAGACAAGAATAGTGTTCCAGCATATTTCTACAGACCCACAAAGGTTATTAGACAGAGAGGAGAGACTTTTGCAAAATAAGCAGAAAGGGAAGCAAGTGCAGTTAGTTTTATGAAGTTTTGTCTATTACTATTTTAATGTAGTTCAAGTATGATCTGGTTCTCATCTACAAGTAATATAGACCAGTGACTTCAAAAATTCAGATCATAAAATGGAATTTGAATCAAGTAAATAATTTTACACACTTTCAAGCTTATACTGGGTGGTAATGGACCCTTAACAAATGTTATCCTATTTTTGATACTGGTGGATGTGAGCGGTCAGATTCATGAGGGGGAAAAGAGCATAATCCTCCTAGCACTACTCTGGCATCTCACAGTGGTATCTTTTTCCTCTTCTCTATATTGACTCAAAGGGTGCTTGCTTACTACAGCAGCCTGTTATCTATGTAGTAAAAATAAAGAAAAGCTAGCAAACTCATTTATATTTTCGATGGGGTCAGTCTAAAAGTGTTTGTTTTGAACATGAGGGGCAAATCTGGCTTCTCCCCCATAGTCAAACATACACTTTTTGGAGACACATATGACAAACACAACGTTCTATAGTAATAGTGAAAAACAGTGGTGGAAATAAAGTAAAATGGCAATGAAAGGCTTTTCCCCCATAGTCAAACATACACTTTTTTGAGACACATATGATAGGACAAACACAACGTTCTATAGTAATACTGAAAACCAGCGGTGGAAATAAAGTAAAATGGCAATGAAGGACTTTGTGCAGGATAACAAATGATCAGAAAAGGAGAAGGAAATGTTAATTGAAGGACTATTATTTTTGCATTTTCTGCATGGAAATTATCTCAGATTTTATCAAAATGTCACTCTAAATTACTATTTTACCTAGACAGTACACTGAAAAAATCTTCATAAGAATTAATTACTTACTTTCTGGATACCTGTATCCTTAGTAATGTACCTGAGCCTCAGGTAACAGATCTCTGTCAACTGTTTTACAGTCATACCATGCCTATTAAGGAGATCTTGTTTTTCCAAGTAATCACCTTAGAAGCTTCACTATAAGAAAAGAATGTGCAAGAAGACTTGGTAAGATTAGCGTGCACAAGCAATGCCATGCATTAGGTATGCAGCCCAGGAAATCAAACTTGCTTGTAAAGTATAGGACAAACTGTAACAACTAGAGCAAATTAATTCCCAGTGCTTAAACACTCGCTGTGACCAAGCACGGTAGGTTTAACTAGTGACTATGTATGCCTTAGGCCTGGGAACTCCACTGGTGTGACCTGACGTCTATGCTAATTGGCAGTTCACAAGTATGAGGCTAAATTATTTGTAATAGTTGGTTTCCATCCCTGTGGATTTCCATCCAATACTTTTTCCGGTAATAAGTAAGGATTTTTGTTAATACGCCAATTGTAAAATCATTTTTCCAAATTAAGGACACTAAATGCCCAAGTAAGTGTAGATAAATCCAGATGCAAACCCCACTACGCACCCTTCTGCCCTCCACACACTGCTGGAGCTGGGGCCTGGCCAGCACGGAGTACTGGCAGTCATGGGGCTGCCATGTGATTTCCCTCCAGTCGCAGGTCCTGTTGTCAGAGCAGCTGAGGCAAGGGACGATCCACTGCCCTGGAAAACAACAAAGTAGCGTCAGCATTGCCTCGGTATCTCTATGAGTAGCCTCTTTATGGAGGCAGTGAGCCTCCATAAGTCAAGTATTTGGAGTTTTCCCCGCTTTTCATTCCCCTCCCACTGAAGGGCCTGGTTCCTTCTTCTGTGTTAATCCTTTTCCATTCAGAAAGCACAAGAGAATTTGCTTTCTTTGAAGGAACTGAGAATGCCCCCTGTTTGGTGGTTGTGCTTGGGCTCATTTCTTATTTCACTTTGTCTTTCTTGCAGTAGCTCATCATTTCTAAAAAGAAGAGGTACAATAAAGGGAAAGGGTTGGGATAAAGGAGAAAGAATGGGATGCAAAAACATTTGCAGAAGTATCTAAAACAAGACATATCTCATCTATCTTCTAAAAGTTATGCAGTTGATCAAAGATAGAGAACCTCTTGACGGTGAAGTGAAGCAAGATAGGGGATGATTTTCAAAGATTTAGGTGAGATGAATAACTTGTGTGATTTATTAGAGCCTAATTCCTATTTTAAAAAAAGATTTTGCAATTTAGGAGCTTAACCTGAGATCAATAAAAATGAGTTGGTTTAAGCATCTGTTACATAAGGTTGAAGGTAAATGGGTTAGTTGTTCTTGTTCTCCAAAGTTGTTTAACTCCAAAATCTTTCTGGAGGTCAGCGGGACTCAGCTTCTGAAGGAACACAGGAAAACATGGGAGTTGCTTTCATATTTAGGGTAACACCAGAAACACTTTTCTGTAGTGGGCTGACAAGAGACACGGGGAGCAGTGTCTATGTAGCTATGCCAGCAAAATCTGCTTTTACAGAGTTGCATGGGGAAAAGCACAGAGATGCCCAGACTCTGTCCCTGAGCTATCGTGCCTTGCTAGCACGGGTCAATGTCTCATTGCAGCACAGCAAACAGCTCCAGTAGCAAATGCAACGCAGATTTGACCTTAGAGCCTGTGATTGCTCTTACTATCAGCCAGCACCACAGCTGTGTTTTATGATGTTTGACAGCCAGCAGCAAGCAGAAAACAGGACTCCTGTTTATGAGCATTTATCTGGCCAAGGGTTGAGTGGGAGGCCAAGGGAAGCAGCGCTCCAGAATCAGAGACCTTGAAGAGTCAGGTGCTACCTCAGGAGCAAGAAAAACTTTGTGACCTGCACCTGACTAAGGAAGAGTCTCAAGCACATATGTTTTGGTAAACAGCAGCATGAGTCATCTTACCAGATAAAAAAGTCCTTCTAAGTAATACCATCAGAAGTGATTTGCACTAGAGCCCTTTCATGCATCTAAGGGCAGAACACAGGGCTAACACCAGGCAGCCCTGGCTGCTGCTTAGCATGTGCAGGTCAGTGCAGGATACAGGCACTTCCCTGCCCTCTGATAGCTGTATAACCTCACTTCTGGAGGTTCCCAGAGGTGAAGATGTATCCTGAGGGGATGCTAAAAGGCGAGTGGCCTATTTCAGTACAGAGAACGAGAGGAAAGAAAGATGTTTCAGGGCCATGCTAGTAGGGAGAGAGAAGGGAGGAGTAGGTTCCGAGGCTTTTTTGGTATAGCTTTCAGCATAATTTTGATTAGCCTGAGTTTTGCTGCCTAAAAGAGATAGTACTGATCCTAACAGTCAAGGCAGAGGGTGCTAGAATTCACTGAAGGACAGACAGGCGCCATCCATTTAAGTTTAGCCCCCCCCAAAAATTGCCAAAAACAAGGTTTCATGAAAACTTAAATGTAGTAGAAAGATTTCCACGGGAGGAGTGAAAGTAGACTGGATTTTTAGCTTATGAAAGAGGCTTAGTAGTTGCATGCATTGACCATCTGCTTATTATATGAGATTAAACATTGCCAGTACTCCCATAAACTACTCTCCTAAAATGCCATAAAACAAATATACTTTAAAAAAATTATTAAGATTATTTATCTTGTATTTAAGCAAGGATATGCTTAACCAGTTAGGCTACTGGTAAAAAGTCTTGACCAATAAAGGCTTTACTCCTATTTTGATGGTGTTTTGTTTCTCCTGGGGAGTGCTCTCAGCACTTTTCACTCAAGCTTTCTAATTATCATAAACACCAATACCTATATTTCATTCAAAAGACCAAAATGAAAGTATTTATATAATGACAAAGAATTATCCATATATAAAGAAAATATTCTAATTGACAATTTAAATCTGAATATTTAAACTAAACTGAAGCTGAAGAGAGTTTGTTGATATATGACTAGTTTATTTTTACAATTGGTGTGTGTTTGGCATCTTAAAAACTTTTTACAGATGTTTTCCTGGTGGGTGGAGTATAAAATTTTTATTTGCTTGCTTTCTTTTTCGCTTTTATTTCTGAAAAAAAGGTAAAAAGAGTTTTAAAAGGACACAATATTAATGTTAAGAATAAAACAGCCTTAGGCCTACAGAAACTTTTGTTGAAACTTGTGCTCACTCATTGTAATCAAAGGAATGATTCATTTAGTTAAGCATTGGCTTATGTCTCTGATGGGCCTAAATCCAGAAAGCTTTTCAATGCAAAGAGACAGCTCTTAGAAGTGAAGTTGTGATCTCTTAAACAGCAGATTTTGCAATTATCTATCCACCAAATTTCCATGGACTTCAATAGTGTGATTTCCAAGGAGGAATTTAGGTTATCCTTGTGTTTATCAACTGTCTCTCCCTCTTTTGGTAGAGCCAAATACACTGCTAGCACTTACTAACTTCCTTAATATTATTAATAGTTCAGCTATATGGAATGCACAACTAATTTTTCGGTGATAGCCTGGTTGAAAACCCATTGAATCAAAACTTTTTTTTTTCTTTTTTTCCTAAAGGAGAAAGGATTTTGTCGCTGTAAAGGCTGTCATCTTTTTGGTCCATGGTCCAAACAAGAAAGAAAGGCAGAAACTGTTCCTGTTCAATATTAATATTTTGTATTTATTGAAGAAAAGAAAAAGAAAGAAATGTGTAAAATGATGTGCTTTACCCCCATTCCCCCTCTCAAGGCACTTAGCTTTTACTTTGGTGTGATCCTGAATTACAGTATCTGATTACACTGTATCAAAGGAGTAGAAAATAGGCATGAAATTCTGGCCATACCAAAGTGCAAGGCAGACTTCTAAGCTTTAGCATCAACTTCAGTGGAACTAAGTTTTCATCTCTCTCTCTCTCTGTTGGCCTGCCCACAACTGCGTTAATTAACAAACTCTTGCAGCATAGATAAGAGATATTTGAGGCAATCACTGTTTTAAGGGTAATGAGTTTAATTTATTGTACTATTTGCCAATGAATCTTGGAGTGTTATGCTACAATAGCTCCTTGGTAACCCTATACAGATAAGGTGTTCCTTAGTTTAAGCACAATATATGACACTGTGTCCTTCTGGAACAAAACAGGAGATTGCTTCACTATTCTGAAAATTTAGTCAGTTAAAAAAAAGAGGTGCTGTTGCTGATTTAGTTGGGGATTTTAAATTAATCCCATGAGTGTTAGGAAAATGCTCCTTGTCAGAATTGAGGTATCATTCAGTTGTTAAAAATTTGGAATGAATTTGCACAAAAAGCAATGCTTTCCACTTCCTCTATGAATTCTGAATTACATTAAAACTGTCCACCCTCTGGTTAATGCCAACTACTGCAAATCCGAGGTCTAGGCTTGGATTCTTCCCATCCTCTCAGACCCATCCTTTGATTCTCCATCTCCTGAATTTGTTTCTTTTCTAAACATGGATGTTGTTCTCAGTAAGGCTATGAAAATATTTTATGTTCAGCCTCACATGGCTAGATGTAATATTAAAAAGCACCACATTATATAACAGGAGAAAGAGACGATCTGCCCCAGACAGCTCTTCCGCCAATTTAGTTTGAGCTTTTTGCTCAGGATCTTTATGTCCTGATTGAGTAGCATGGGCTGCGCTGGGCTTCTTTGTGACTCATAAATTGCTGCATGATGAAAATATGTTACCAGGTGCAGCAGTGTCTCCTTTGCGTATTCCCTTCATTTAACACTGAACAACAATAATATATGCCCTAATATTTCATATGGAGTGATTCGTCCATGCAGTCTGCACACATTCTTTCTACTTTGTACTGATTATGCCAGGAGTTTGTGCAAGTCTAGTGTTGTGAGAAAATGTTCCTATCTGTGATAAGATAAAAAATACATTTCTGCTAATAGACTATAGAGGAATTAGTTTATTTTTCTTTTTTTTTTCTCATAAAGAAAAGAATAACATTAATAATTGTCTAATCCAGCAACAAATTAAGCCATGCATAACAGGACTGAGTAGTCCTGTGGGTTACTCACATGTGTCAAGGAAAATCTGCATAAATCTCTGCATCTGCATAAACGTGGCTGTGATCTAAAGATTAGTATGTAACTATAATTCTGTTTTGATCTGTGTTCTTACAAACGAAACAGATATCTTGCTTATATTGGTTATTATGTAATTATTATTTTAACAACAGTCATTTCAACCACAATGTTTAATTTGTCCATTCTGATATTTAAACTTCAAAGAATTGCTATACATAAAAACACGTATTTACTGTTTGCTTAAATTAAAATTGTTAATTGTGTTTCATACATAGAATGACAAATATAAAAATACAAGAGTGTGAAAATGTTGTGCACTTTTTCAAAAGCTGTTTTCATTTATATTGTAGTTTAAAAATAGTTTTGATGGAAATATTTCAATGCACTTCGAAGGCTGCAGGACAATAATACAAGTGCTGTATTAGGAATCACTGATCAAGAACGTGCTAAAATAAAATTGTCACATTAATTAATCTGGTTTAATAAATCCATAACCGTTATAAGCAGTTAGCTACATTTATCATACACAGGTTAGTGCATGTGCATTAAGCAGAGCAAAAACAAAATTTGTAGCTTCATTTTAGATAGGTGCATGAATTAATTTTCAGAGAGGGAAAAATTAGGTACAAACCTTTTGTGTCTCCAGTTTCACAGGTCTTTAACACCGTCTGTGAAATTGTTGAGAGGTATTCATGAGACAGAGGCTGCAAGCCACAGGACTCCTCTGGATGAATTCGAGAACCACAGTCCTGAATTAAAATGAAATGAGTGAAAATTACTGCCGTGCACCTATGCTCTCCAATGGCTTTTAAAGAGGAAAAAGGATATTTGGGGTTGGATCTGCAATTTATTCATTCTTTGCTCTTAAGTATATTTTTAATAAGAAGTTTTAAATTCTTTTTCCATGGCGATTTGTAATAAATTATCCAAAATCACACTCAGTGCAGCGGATACTAGACTTTCTAAAGGTAAATATATATAATATTAATGTAATGTAATCTTCTTTCTGTTTATCATGTAATCTTTTCTTGTTTATTCACAGTACTTTTGTATGCATATATAGAGCTATATGAAACATATTTCTGTGATGAAATACTCCAGTTTAGCTTCAGGAAATACAAATACAAAAAAAAAAACATTCAGAAAAAGATAAAAAAAAAAAGAAAAAAAAAGTTCAAGGCAAAATGCTTGAGTTCCTAGAGGGATTAGGAAGATTTATTATAAAGTTTTGAAGGAAAGGATCAAATATAACCATAATCCTGAAAATGGATCTTCAGATATGATGTAGTCCATATTAAACCCCAGACACTACCAACAGGATAACACAAAATACTGATCATAGTTATGCCAAAATATTCACATATTCATTATTTTTCATCAGAGTAAAGGATTTGACTTTTTCATTTTCCAATTACAGTAAAGTTCATTACGACTCCACAATTAATGAAAATATTTTATCTATGGTTATGCTTGGATACAAGAATACAGATTCATTACTGAACCAATAAAGATTATTAAAGAACCAGAGTCTGCTAATGACATGGTATGCACTGTAAATACGTTTCATTAAGGAATATAAGTTTCCTGCAGTTTGATCATTTCTGCTTTATTTTGAAGATATTAGAGAAAACATAAAATGTAAAATGATTAATGCAAGATGCCTAAAAATTAGCATTAACAATCTGGTATGACAATCAATTTAAAATTAACTTTCTTAAAATTTGCCAGTGAAAAGTGTTACACGCTTTTAGAAAACTTGAATATTACTCTGTTTGGAAGGCATTTTAGAGGTCAGATTCTGTGAGGGACCACCAGCTACCAATAATTTTTCCGGAAATGTTCATGTTTGGCCATAATAAGACTTAACACATGTGGGTTCTTACCTTTTAAGCAATAGGTTGTAGCACTATGTTTATGCCTTACAGCTATAATATTCACGTAATATAAATTACGTCATAGCATTTCTGGCTTTGGGGAATTCTTTAGAAAATTTTAGACGTCTACAGCATATGTGGCTCAAAGAGCTGCTCATTCTAAGCTCCCTCTATACATTCTACAGAAAATTAGGCATTCCTTGGACACGTTTTTTAATGTTTTAGTTGTCTACTTTAGGATAGAATGAATTACCTTCTGAAAGTGCCTTTCTCCATTGATTATAAAGGAGTCTAGAAAGATTTAGAGGTATACGGCTGCATTAGTTCAGAAAAACTCACCTTAAACTACTTTGCAAAAATCTTCTTACATACACTATTACCTGATGGTGCTAATGCCAGTTATTACTTCAGAATATAGGAGCTTTCTGAGGTTAGTGCTAAAGAATAGCAAATAACATCGAAAAATTCTTTTTTTTTACCCTCACTTCTTTGCCAAGCTCACCATAACATAGTGGATTCTTTTTTCATCAAAATTGCAAAACCATTAAAGGAACTTAAAACAGCAAAGAAAATCATTTTATGACAAAGGAGGATAACAACTAACTACGGCAAATGTTATTTAATGCCATTATACAAAAATAATACAGCATTTTTATATACTGTATGAAAAAATGCAGATGTGGTCCTTTCTGTTAAACTAAGTATTAGTCATGGTCATTTTGAATAATTCAAAACTTGTTTTTTTAAATAAATTTTAAATAATTCTAAATAAACTATGAAAATGGAAATATACTTTTAGAGTTTTTTTCATTTCAAGAAAGCTGAAGCTTCACTGAAGCTGAAAAGAAGAATAAAATATACTTTCTCAAAAACAAAAAAGGTAATTGGTCTTATGTTCACTTAACTATGCAGATTTCTATATAATTCTTTTTATTTTTTTAAATGATGTCAAATTGATTAGGCAATTGTCATGTAATATCATTCACTGTTTCTAGGAAATTATGCTATAATATGATATATTATTCCATTATATGTTATTCTTAAATTGGAACAATGAGTAAATGACATTTTTGCATTCATACTGTCAAAGTGAAATTTGATAGTCCATAGGTTTTGTGCCACTGATATAGAAGGAGATAGCAATTCATTCTGAAAGGTAGTAAATAGTGGTGCATCTTGATTTTCTAATCAGGAAACAAGATGACATGATTTTCTCATACCTAATCTGATGACATTTAGCTCTATGGTATATAAATATTAAAAAAAAATCTCCCACTGACTTCACTGATTTCAAAGGGGTTTGGTCATCTTTGTGCATGAAACCTGAGAAAAATGTCATATATCTGTGGACTCTTTTGTGTGATTGTCCTATTCCCTGCTTCATGTTCCCTAAGCAGAGAAAGCTGATACAGCAAAATGAATGACACAATTTCTTCTAGTGTCAAACTGTGATCTTGTCTTGGAGCCTCTTGGTCTGGACACAGTGTACAGTTATTTGACAGTATTACTTAAACTAACATTAACATCAGAAAGCTCCTACCTTGCAGTAAAACAATTTGCGCAGGGCTTCACAAGAAAGCTCCAAATTCCAGAATAAGCTGCTACTGCTCCCAACAAAGTGTCATAAAATAACTTATCAGGGATTTTCTTGTTCATACCTCTGCAGAGAGTATGTGTTTAAACAAACAAACAAGAAGTCTATATTTTTGATTGCATTCCTTGGACAATATCCTTAACAGCAGTTTCGGCCTGGCTAGTTTATTATTAGTCATAACTGATTGCAGGCCAAACTATGTCACCTATTCCCATTGATTTACATATATTTTCAAAGTATGCAGACCATGAATCTCAAAGGATTCTACTTGTGTTTAACACATAATTGCTATCTAAAATTACAGGGTCATGACAGATTTTGGATAGCTGAATTAACCTTGTTTGTTTAATCTTTAATTTGTGGGAGGCAATCTTTTATCACCATTGCTAAATTTAATACAATGTACAAAACGAATCTGTGGCAGCCATAGATTAACTACAGCTCCAGCACTGTAAAGTACCTTCAAGGCTTCAGTAATCACTGGCAGATTTATTTAGTTTTCTTCAGGTGCTGCAGTGACTTGACATCCTTCTTTCTTTGCCCAAAGATGAAACAACTTGTGATTTTAAGTATGTTTACAAATAATCACTTATAGCAAAGATAAGAGCCAGACACGCAAACTTATATTATAGTTCTTCACCTGTGTCTGTTCTCCCTGCAAAATTTTTAGAAGGCAGACATTAATAAACTCTTGAAATGTCTGGACTAATATCAAAAGAAAATATTCTGTGCATTATGTACTTCAATGCACAGTTAGAATTCACTCTTTATAAGCCTGGTTTGTCATTTTACTAGTAAACCTTCTTTTATCTTTACAGAAGCTTTTTTGAACACTGGCAAATAAAATTGAAAGCTATCCTATAGCTTTCAGTCAACATCAGTTGATACTTAGGAGAGTGAACCTTTCTGGAGCCCATCTGCTGTATGAAAAGAGAATTGTTTCTATTCAAAGCACACTACAGTGTATTTGACTCTTCAAAATGGGAATCAATTTTATCCTTTATAAAGAGATCACGCAGTTTTTTGAGCATGTTGCTCTGTAGCTTTCTCAAAATATTATTATGAAGGTATTAGGGTATGCTTTATTTCATTTACTTATAAAGTAGGTGCCTGATTTAACAAGAGTTTTGTTTATTTCAGCTTTCAACAACTACTCAGTATCTCCTCTCATTTATAAATCTACATATTTTCTCTCAGATGTTTAAATATATATTATATATATATATATATATATATATATATATATATATATATATATATATATATATATATATATAAAACTAAAAAACTACCAGTCTTAAACTCTCATAGATGTGTGCGCATTTGCATGCCTCTGTGTGGGTAAGAGAGAGTGAGAGAGAAATCAATGATAATCTGTGGTCATGCAGTTAATATCATCGTATGAATAGCTAAATACTACCGTAGTTGCAAAAGTGCCTTAGATTTAAAGAATGATTGTATTTTAGGCTTAACTGTTACTTGCTGTTGTGCCTTTTTACCACCTTGCCCCAATGAAAGAATTACTCTGAAATTGTAGTAGTTGCATACAGTTCAACCCTATAGGCTTCCTCCAAACTTCCTCCTTCATCCAAAGGTAAAAAAGTAGAAAGGAGAGGAGAGGAGAGGAGAGGAGAGGAGAGGAGAGGTTTACAATTTTCCTCTGAAAGCTTACATAAAATAGGGACAAATTGCCCTTGTGTGTTCTTTTGAAGTGTCAGCACTCCAGCAGAGTGGCAGTGAACCACATAAAGAAAATGAAGTTACTTTTTACATCCACAGCTGCTAACTGCCATTTAAAGTAGGAAAGCAAGATCTTCCAAACTTTTCTCAGATAACCCAGCTCTGTCCCTGCAAAGCTGTATCTAAAGCTATTATTTTCAGTGAAAGTAGACCTATGCAAACAAACTGAAAATTCTGGAAACTCCCACTCAGGATGCCTGCAGCATGGCCCTATGTTCAGACTGCTCAGTAAGTTTTCTCTCCTTTTTGCATTTGTGTTACAACTCCTAGGGCTCAATGGGAATGGTGAGCTCAACACTAACTTTGAAAAACAGGTCATTTCTACTTAGGCAATCATGTCAGAGAGTGCACCCAACACATAGCGCTGAATATCAATATGCAATCAGCGTATCAGAACTTTTAAACAAAACAGTAAAAAAAAATGACTAGGCTCAAGGAAATTAATTTTGGCCTTATATACTACCAATACATACACAAAATCCTGCATCATTTTTATATCCCAAGCATGAGGATGTCTGGGGACTAGAGGATGAGAAAAAAA